TGCTGAAATCATTACAGCTATCCATTTTTCCTGCTTCTAACACATCAACTGTGAGGACACAGTGTTTACCTGCTGTCTAATATATCCCAACCACTGACATGGTACCATGGTAGCCAGATAATCAGTGGTATTAACTTCACCTGGTCATAAGGTTATGGCTGATTGATGTATATAATGTATCATTTTGTACTATATTTATATTCCTATATTTTTACTTCTACACTATTTTGTGTCATATATCTGAGATCCTCTTGTTTTACCTATGATTTTCCTTTTATATTTATTTTTCACGGACATCTTTAACACCTCACTGGAGACACGCCATGTGCCAGTCTGCTTTAAAGCCTCCACCATCATCCCTGTCCACTAAAAACCAAGGACCACAGGACTAAATGACAACCGATACATCCAATGAAGTCTTATGAGAGCCTTGTGTTGTCCCACCTCAAGTCCACTACAGACCCACTCCTGGACCCCTTGCAGTTCACCAACAGAGCCTACAGATCTATAGACGCTGCAGTAAACATGGCCTTTCACTTCTTCCTCCAGCACTTGGACTCACTAGGAACCTACACCAGGATCCTGTTTTTGGATTTCAGCTCTGCCTTCAACACCATCATCCTAACTCTGCTGCAGGACAAGCTCTCTCATCTGAGCATGCCTTAATCCACTCGCAGGTGGATCACAGACTTTTTGTCGGACAGGAAGCAACATGTGAAGCTGGGAAAACATCTTTCAGCACTGGTGACATTTTTAATCTGTTTACTTTTTCGATATTTATATTTATTTATATATTATATTTATATTTATGTTCATGTGTACTGTTGAGCACCAATATATACCAAGGCAAATTCCTCATATGTGAAAATGTACGTGCTGGAGGTTTAAGCTGCTCTGCGCTTAATCAGGTAGCCCCGCTCTCATCGCCGCCAACCAATTACCACAGTAGAAAGGGTCACATGTTCGGTGACTGCTGACCACTTGAGTCAACTGTCTACATCAAAAAAGGGACAGTGTTCTGATTGGTTCATTTCAAAGGTCAAAGGTCAGAGAGAATGGTGAGACTCTAACTGTGTTTGATGTTGTTGGAATCAAACTGAATTTAAACATGATGTCAACACACCAGCAGCGCCCTGACATCCATCAACAGGCAGAAAATAACACTGGTTTATTATCTCGTTTCGCCTCTCAGTACTCTACCTGGACCCAGACTAGTTCTTTCTGCATGGTTGACATAAGGTCAAAGTTCAGACTGGTTCACCTGCAGCAGCAGGTTCGCGCTGCCACCATGTTCAAAATCTTCGCTCTCTGGAGAAAAGAAATGGATCACTTCAGCACAGTTCTGCCATAGACTGTGTGGACAAACTGCCTCCATCTGCTGCAGCTGTTTGATTAAAAACATGTAGGAATTCAGAATGAGTCAGAAACAAAGAGCAAAATGATGAAAAGCTCTGACTGAAAACCTTATACATAAAATCTTTACGGTTGGAAAATGATAAAAACAGGAACAGAGTGATCAGTGAGAGCAAAGACAACATGCTGTGATCTAACTGAGCTGATATCATTGATGCCAGCAGCTCTAATATTAGTTGTATATACATATATTGTATGTACTGCAGTTATTGATATTATGATCTGAATAGATATTAAAACCATGAGAACGTGTTTGAACAGCTGAACCACAGCATGAGTGTGAAAATTTTTCTCTGACTAACTTCTGCTTTTCATGTCTTCACTTCACTCCTTCATCTGGTTTTAACCACATTCGCACCCTCGACACAACATCCGGACTCTGAGCTAGTACGATAACACTGAGCTTAACGATGCAACACTACAACAGTACTGTTATTATGTGAGACCACACAACGCTGGCTGCATGTTTTCTATCTATTATAATGTTGCAGCTCTTTCTTACAACAGCTAAAATAAATGTGAAGCTGCTCACCTATTGTGTCAAGGATGGCTGAGTGCAGTGGCAGGAAACAGAGCTGTGGACCCAAAATGCAGAAACCGGCAACGAGGATGCAGTTCTACAGGATATTTAGTAGAATTAAAACTCAAACAGGCTTACTTGGAGCACAGCAGGCAACAGTCCAAAAAAAGGTAGATCCAAACAAAGGATAATCCAAAGGGTCAGCAGAGAATCCAAAAAACAAGAGATAAGGGCGCAGGCAGAATACTCAAGACAACACAACAAAGACCAAACAGTACTGAGGGTTTAAATACTGACAGAGCACAACACATGCCAGGCAGGCAGGGTAATTAGACACAACTGAGACACATGAGGGTAATCAAGGCAGAGACAGAAAAAAGCAAGTTCAGGGGACAGAGACAGAACCTAACTGGAAAAACGACTGACACAAAACATGGAACAAATGCAAAATAACCAAAAACGAGTTACAGAAACTACAGAACCCAAACCAGAAAACAAAGAATCCCATAATAATGGGCCAAAGGAAGACTAGAACTAAACTAGACAGAACACGGAGAAGGAAACAGGCAGACTGAACAATAATAAATACAGGAGTGAAACCCAAGACAGAAACAAACAGCAGACAAGGCAAAAAATTGACAATAGACTAGACAGGAATCAAACAGACTAGACAGAGTGCAAATATGATAGGGATCATGACAAATTGGACTTTCCCAGTCTTCACTATCATGGCAGAGACCAACTAAAAATACCCCTCTCTCCTAGATGCGTTTTACCATTGGCTCTCCGACTGTATCAAAGATCAGTTGATCTTCACTCCCTGGTAGCCTTTACCATGCGCATCAACAGGTGTCTCTGGGAATGGAGGAGAGAGAGATCCTGGTCTACCATCTCCATACTCTCCGTACCACCTCTGGCAATCCTTGCCTCCGCAGGCCAGTGTGCCTTTAGTGGTTCCCCATAGCCTCTGCAGCTGGGCCAGGCTTGGCTCTCCATGGAGGAAAGACTGCGCCAACTGCAGAGCAATCCAGTGCCTGTCCTGCGGCCAAGACTGCCATTTTGTCTCGGCTGGTCCACAAAATGACAGGGATCACTAGTCAACCAGAAGGGGCTGGTGAGCTGGAGATTCTTGCTCTTGGTGGAAGGCTCTGTACAGGATTACACAGTTAGCATCCTCTAAGACTTTAATCCACACCTTCTCAGTACCAGAAATCAGGGCCATGCAACAGGAGATCTACAAGGCGCTGGTGGAAGGGATCTTTTTCTTTGTGGAGAAAACAGATAAGTCCCTGTGACCATGCGTCAATTACGATAGCTGGAATGCTTTTCCACTTATCTCCTCTGCTTGTGAAGTTTTGCAAGAAGCCACCATCTTTTCTAAGCTCAATTTCAGAAACTCGTACCACCTTATACATGTGGTAGAACTTTTATGTTTCCGGTGAGGAATCAAACAAATAAGTAAGTTACAACAAACGGTTGTCTTTTGATATTTAATAAAGTAGAAATTAGAACAAAGAAGTACTTAAAATTATTCAACTGGGGCAGAGGACATACACAATGAAGGGTGATTTGAAGTATCTGGCACAGAGCAAAGAAACGCTTAAACATTTAACACAATGGAATATTTGTGTTGTCTACAAAGGAGCTTTTCTCAGCTGGGAAACTCAGATTCATATGAGTATGAGCAGAGACAAGGCAAAACAGTTCCACAGCTATTCTGTTCCTGGTTTGATGGCTCATCAACTACACCTCGGTGGCAGTGACCACACTCACCTTCCAAGGCATCCCTTCCAATGGTCTTGTCTTCCCAGACACCACCCGTAGTTTCATTGTGGAGGTGGATACCTCACAGGCGTACTCTTGCATTGATTGGCAGAGGACCAGAAGATCAATCCATGCACTTTCTTCTATCCCCGGAAATCAGGAGTTTCTGGCAGTGAAACTAGCTGTAGACGAGTGGAAACTGTTTTTAGTCTGGACTGATCACAAGAACTAGGAGTACATCCATTCAGCCAAGCAACTAAATTCCAGGCTGGCCAGGTTGGCTCTTTTTTTAACCACTTTGAATTTTCTCATTCATACTGCACAGGCTCAAACAAAGCTAAGCCTGGCTTGTCATCCTGAGGTCTGGGGGGAAGCCCTAGCCTGCTGCATCAGCATTTTTGGTGGCCTTTTATAAGGGAGGATACCAAGGAGTTCATCACTGCCTGTACAACCTGTTCACAGCACAAGGGCTGACATCAAGCCTGGCCAGGATTTATTCAGTCTCTGCCAGCCCCACGTTGATCTGGTCTCACATGGACTTCATTACTGGATTGCCTGCATCTCATGATCACAATGTCATCCTCACTGACCAATTTTCTTAGACTGTTCACCTCATTCCAGAGAAACAACAGACCAGGAGCCACAATTTACCTGTTGTGCAGTCTCCAAGGAACCAAGGTCAGTCTGTCATGGGGATTCCACCATTTAACCAATGGCCAAGCACAACACAAACAATTTTAAAAAATAAACCTTTTCCTGGATCAAGTATGCCCTCCATACCCTCTCTCCCTTCCAGTGCTCCCAGGGGTATAAACTGCCCCTTTATCCAAAACAGGAATGCACCGGTCTAAGCTCTCTACCAGCAGGCCACCACCCAACGCTGCTCCCCGGCACCCTGTTATACCACAGGACAACTTGTCTATTTATCCACACAAGACCTTCCTCTGCATGTGGAGTCCAGGAAGCTGACACCATGTTTTATGGGTCCAGTCCCTATCTCAAGGGTAATCAGTCCTGTGGCTATCAGCTTCCACTTGCCCCAGGGAGGAAAAGAAATGCCTACTCTCAGTATAGTTCAGTATAGAAGAAGGATTATCCCTCCTCTGCCGCAGGTTCCTGCCGAAACTCCTCTAAGGCTACTCCTCTCTTGAGAGCCAAAGATTAGCATTCCTGATACTTTAGAGAATTGTTAGAAAACAAAGGGCTTGACCAAAATGTTGTAAAGGACGCCGTGGATGAGGGGATGAAAGGATCAGGTCTAGAGAATCATCAATCTTTCGAAAGATCAAAATGATCTACCTGGTTTTATTTACCAAAGCTTAAAAACATACAAAGCCTACGTCCAATAATACTTTGACATAAAAGAGAGAAAATGAGTAAAATAAAACACACAGAATTCCTGACTCTAACAAGGCTGCAAAAATGCAAAAATCGACTTAAGGCTGAAGTTGATCTAGATGCTTGCGGTGGCCTGACTCCAGACTTGGACACTTCATGGTGTTTTCTCCTGTCATTTGTCTCCATCTGTAGCTGGTCAGAAACTAAGCAACACACTTATTCAATGGTTATACAAAGTACACATGGCTAAACGTAAGCTAATACCTAATGTGTTAATTTATACATTTTTACTATACATTATGTTTCTTACCACTGAAAAACTAAGAGAATGAAGAAAAAAAGATGAAGATAATGATCAGTGATTCAGACAGTTTTCTCTTGTTCAAATTGATCCAGAAGATGACTTTAGAACCTTCTTATTATTGATCCATGTTAAAGACAGCTGCTGTTACTGTTGAAGGTGACCAATCCATACTGGCTCCCTGATCCCTTATGCCCATGGGTAAAAGTGGTTCTCTCAGTCAAAGAAGGTCAACGCAAATGTGCCTATTCAAAGTGATCAAACTAAATCTTTCAAATCACTTGAGATGAAACTGTCCACTATGATGTAATAGGAATTTATTGAAGATAATGTAAAAGACGTTGACAGCTCCCCAAAGCCCCTTACCTTATCCCTATCCATCACAGGGGTGTGTGCCCAAACCTAAGTCATTTTTTTAATGCATGTTTACCGGCTAACCGTACAGGTGTTTCGGCCATCAGCTAGGGTTTTCTACCTTTGTGTTGCTACATTGTTAGATTGTTGTCAAATTAGAAATGTTCTGTTGAATAATGTTTTTCATGACACAGCCAGCTACTAGTGCTTCCAGCCTAGACAGAGCATCTCATACAGACGCACCCGGGTGCGTCTCATAAGGACACTGAGGGGTACTTCTTGCGTCAAATACACTTTGGCAGCCCTTCTGAAAGCATCAGTATCTGACAACCTGAGATGAGAACAGGCAACAACACACAAGTCATTATGAACAGGCACGTTTGTGGTAACTTTATTTGACTGACAGGACCACTTCTGTGCATGTGCAGAAGGGATCGGGCAGCCACTATGGATTGGGCACTGACAACTGTGTTCACAGCTCAGAAGGCGTGCTCAGTGGTGACATCAGCAGTGATGTCATTATACTCTCCATCCAATTTCTCACTTCCTCCAACGGCCTGGGTCATCTCCATGGAGACGGCTGGTTTGTTTCCTGTCTTCCTGCTGCAGCAGATGGACAGCATCAGACCAGTAGAGACGCAGTATGGACAGAAGACCACTAGATGGCAGCAGAGTCTGAGCACAGACAGAGAGGAGTCTGATGGAGGAGAACAAGAATCACAGTCAGGTTTGTTACCAAGAAGGTTTTCAACATACAAGGATGCATCTGTCATTTTGGTGAGTAACAATAAACATAGTGAGAGAAAATAAAAATAAAACTGTACACGTCAAGAATCTTAATTGCCAAATATCATAACATTTTGTGTTTCAATTTTGTATTTCCTGTTTTATGTTTATGGAGTCCTTCCTTGTGTGTTTTTGTTAACTTCACTTCCTGTCTTTGTGTGGTTTCCCAGCAGTGTGATTGTCGGCCCCGTCCTGATTAGCTTCACCTTTGTCTCGTTATCCTCCCCTCACTTGTGTATTTTGTCAGTGTGATCCCCTTGTCGGTTGCCTGTTTGTCTTTGTCAAAAGACTTTGCGTTCAAGGCTTTTCCCAATGTTCTCCCTGTGCTTTTGGATTTATACTTTGCTACCTTTGATTTTGGATTTTGCTCTTCACCCGCTCCCCATCTATGACCCTTGCAAACCTCACCTTACCGTAAGCCTGTATACTCAATCAAATCAAACCTACGGTGTTATTTAAAATTATATATCTCTATCTATAATGATAAATTGAGCAGAATAAATTCTTCTGTATATTTTTATAAATGATTAACTTCCACAAGCTCACCTGCAGAAACAAGCAGTCCACTCAGCAACACAGCCGCACCTGCAACAGGTGGACAGAAATCACTAAAGGTCAGAGGTCAACAGACAGATAGACAGACTTCGACTGCATTTGAAAAGTCTTGTTTGCTTAGGAAAGTTCTGACTGAGTGAAGTGAACCGGAAGTATTTCAGTGGCAGCCATGATAAGAGCTGTTCAAATTCTCTAAAAGCTGAGGAAAGGTGCCTCAATGCTTCCTTTCACATAGGGTACACTGGACCATCCTTTATGAAGGAAAGGAGAGAATGCCGTCCCACAATTCCTTGCGGCGCCAACATTTAAAGCGACACACGTTCTCAAACTCAAACGATAAAATCCATCAACCACATTTAGCAAGATCCTGCAATACAGACGCACATTATGATACTTTAATAAGACTCACAATTACCTTTCTGTTGGCTTTTTTGTAATCTAATACTGTTTCAACACCGTTTTATGTTTCGGGTTGTTGAAATAAGTGTTTTCTACAATAAAAAATAATAAATCATCAAACCATGACGGATAAAGGAGGTTGATCACCATGTAGTTACCATTGGCTATTAAGCCTTTTCTCTCTTTTGCCATAACTTTCTAATATGCATATATCTTAAACTGTCAACAATAACTGAGACCCATTTAAAATGGGTAAAATCATATTGATGACAGTCCTTACGGATTCTCCTTCACATCTTTCCTTGACCTCATGATGTTTTCCATCGAGGTCGAGGAAAGGAGATTTTTTTTACTTTTCGACTGCAGCCCTCCATCAGCTCACCTGCAGCAGTCAGCACAGCCAGACCTACAAAAGGAGAACAAGGTTTACTAAAGGTCAGAGGTCACTAAAGGTCAGAGGTCAACAGACAGACTTCCATCAGCTCACCTGCAGCGGTCAGCACAGCCAGACCTACAACAGGAGAACAAGGTTTACTAAAGGTCAGAGGTCAGCAGGTTAACTTTGTATTCAAATATATAAACAGTTAGTGGAAAATATCTAACTGAGCTTTCAGCAGCATCTCATGGTGTTCATCAGTAAATGGAGTTGGCTCAGGTGTCATCATGTGACCTACAGGTACATCACATCTCCCCCCATATACAAGCAGCTGTTACCATGGGACTGAGGGTCTGTACCTCACATGACCACACCTGAAGCATCTCCAGAACTACCAAGCAAACGCCATGAGCTGATGAAGACCATGAGATGTGGCTGAAAGCTCTGGGAGTCAGGAGTCCAACCAGTCCCAGTTGTAGTTCAGTACAGACCTGCTGACTGGATCAGACACAGTCTGGTTCCAGTCTGTTCACATCAGGTGAGTCTGACAGCTTTCATACCTGTTTGATTCCTGCGGAGCAACAGAACTCCGACCAGGACCAGAACCAGAAGAACCAGAAGAACCAGAGAACCCACAGGTAGTCCAACTGTTAGGAGGGGAGAGGAGAGAGGGGGGGAGGCTGAAGGAGGAGAAGGAGGAGGAGAAGTACTGGAAGGAGGAGGGGCAGCAGGACCTGGAAGGAAAATCAGTAGAACCTGGATCAATGCAGTGATCAGTTTATTATCAGGTCAGCAGGTTAGTTCATATCATATAAACAGGAAGTGATGTCAGTGTCCTGACCTCTGACCCTCAGCCGTCTCCAAGGAGATTCAACAGACTGATCAAAATAACACCAGAAGAGACCTTCATCAGACTGTTGGAAGTTCCTGATGGTAAACTGTCCTTCAGGTCCAGATCCAAGTTTAGAACCATCCCTGAAGAAAAAGGCTTCGAGTGCGACCTGATCTTTGTTTCTACAGCGCAGAGTGACATCACTTCCTGCCATCACAGGAAGTGCAGGAATCTCCAGAGTAACTAGATCATCTGAGGAAGAAAGAAAACAGAGTTAGTCCATCAGACCAGGACCTGGAAGGAAAATCAGTAGAACCTGGATCAATGCAGTGATCAGTTTATTATCAGGTCAGCAGGTTAGTTCATATCATATAAACAGGAAGTGATGTCAGTGTCCTGACCTCTGACGCTCAGCCGTCTCCGAGGAGATTCTTCAGTCTGATCAAAATAACACCAGTAGAGACCTTCATCAGACTGACTGATGTTCCTGATGGTAAACTGTCCTTCAGGTCCAGATCCAAGTTTAGAACCATCCCTGAAGAAAAAGGCTTCGAGTGCGACCTGATCTTTGGTTCTACAGCGCAGAGTGACATCACTTCCTGCCACCACAGGAAGAGCATAAATCTCCAGAGTAACCTGAGCATCATCACCTGAAGAAAGAAAACAGAGTTAGTCCATCAGACCAGAACCATATTCAGAGTTAGACCTGTCAGACCAGGGCCTCATTTCTAAACGTAGCGTGCAGATAAAAGACGGCGTTCTCCACTTTCTAAGCAAACTTTGGGATTTCTAAAAAACGTGCAGTAACTCTGAGCCATGTGTATGCACATTAACTGGAGAAATGAGAAACAGTGACTCAGATGGCAGAAGGATGAAACAGTTTGAACCTTAGATGAAACTTAACACTAGTTCATGCAAAAACAGATAAATTCTTAAACTAATAGAAAACATTTGAGTGACAGAGTCCAGCTTCTGTCACACAAGACAAACTTATTTCTTTAACTCCTCGGCAGCCTCGTTAATTCAGTCAATGAAGTCTCTTTGCGTTAATAGGACTGCATCTACACGGGCCCTTGAGGGTTGACAGCAAGAGGTGCAGGAGGTGACGCCGGGGCTGGGCGCACTCAGCTGCAGGTCCATCGACCCCGCTGAAACAGCAGAAAACGTCTTTTTATTTGTGTAAATAAATGTTTAAACAAAACCTGAATGCATTTGGTTTAACCTCTTTTCTAACAAGTGAATACAAAGTATGCACCTGGTTTACATATCTGTGTCCCCCTCCACCTCTGTTACCATTCTCCAAGTCACTCATCAAGGAGGTGGAGCTCCAGTAATAATAATATATATTAATCTTTCTTTGTAGAGCACTTTTCAAAACAATATTACAAAGTGCTTTTGTGACATTCCAGTGTCCCCCTTTCCTCCCGGAGCAAACACTCTAGCTGATTCTCAATCTGCGTTCTTGTCTGGACTTGTGTTCTTGTGAACTTGTGAAACGTCATCAGTCGCAGCCCAAGTTCCGATTCAAAAGCCCGCAACTAGCCAAGTACAGTCAAATACCCTGATGTGTTTTACTGATGACTTTTTAAGAGATGTGAGATCCCGCCCGCTAAAGGGACAGGTTGTCATCAAGTCCGCTGCTGTTCCAATTGCAGAATGAAGGACTGCGTGCTCCCGTTCCTGGGAGCTTGTACCTGCCAAGTCCGAGATTTAAAGTACAGAAGTCTGAACTTGGCAAACTCGGTATTAACAAACAGTCTCTGTGTGCGTCTTTTGTGTATCGTCTGTACGCAACCTTTTGACTTTAATCCTACAAACAGTTTAATAAATGAGGCCTAAGAGTCATATACAGACAGACACATCCTGACCTGTGACACTCAGCCATCTCCGAGGAGATTCTTCAGTCTGATCAAAATAACACCAGTAGAGACCTTCATAAGACTGTTGGAAGTTCCTGATGGTAAACTGTCCTTCAGGTCCAGATCCAAGTTTAGAACCATCCCTGATGAAAAAGGCTTCGAGTGCGACCTGATCTTTGGTTCTACAGCGCAGAGTGACATCACTTCCTGCTATGACAGGACGTGCAGGAATCTCCAGAATAACCTGAGAATCTGAAGAAGAAGAAAACAGAGTTAGTCCATCAGACCAGAACCATCTGTCCATCTTCAACAGAGAGAGAGTCAGTGATTGTTTTCTCTTCCATCAGCTCACCTGCAGAATCAGTCAGTCCAGACAGCAGCAGCACAGACACACCTGCAACAGGAAGACAGGGGTCACTGAAGGTCAGGGGTCACTGAAGGTCAGGGGTCACTGAAGGTCAGAGGTCACTGAAGGAATGAGCAATGAGTGGACAATCCCCTGCTTCCTGGTCTCTGTTCCTCTAAATGGGACCATAATTTACTAAATGAACATCATGCTGTGTTGAAGAAGACTTGAAACTAGTGACTGAGACCAGAAACTCATCAGGAAAGTGTTTACTGAGGGAATAAATCAGCTGAGAAGCAGAAACATTTTCTTCTGCAGCCGGAGGAGTCGCCCCCTGCTGGCTGCTAGAGAGGACGTAGGTTTAAGGCTCTTCAGCACTGGATTCAGTTTTCAGACCCGGAGGTTCTTTAAAGACACACTCAGTATCTGGTCTGCGCTGTGCCTCCTGCACATTGGCCTGCAGTGACATAAACATTAACCAGAATGAAAGATGTGATCTCAGGGGGGGGAGCAGAATGGTTTACAGCAACTGCTGCACCTGAAGCAAAAACACAAAAGATAAAGAAATGTCTGTTTTTCATTCAGTTCGTTGCACATTGAGTGCACTTTTCACTGCGTAGACAAATGTGAAAACACATGTGATTTGAATGTCCATTTATTCCACAGATAAGAAAAGTGGGATATAAATCTGCTGCAGCCGTCTCTGGGTAAAGAGCTCCGGGTTCCACAGCAAAACACTGCAGGCGTGCGGGAAGACATTTTCACTTAGGGGTGCTGCACAGCAGAAATGCACACATGACATGACTGTGTGTGGGCACACACTTACACACTTTCCTTCAACACAGAGTGGTTACAAGCAGGGTCGTATGAGGTCACCGAGCTCCGGACCTCCGTAATTAGGCATATGTAGGCTATGTAGGCCAATCTATAGGCCAAAGAAAAACCATTGATAACACAAATTAAATGAAGGCCATGCGGGCGCAGCTGATTACACCGTCGCTCCCCTCATTTCAATTTTGTGCGTGGTATGCGCTAACTGAGAGCGCCGCTGTTTTTGGACGATAGCCTACTCTTTTTTTTTTTTATTTCAGGCTGGATGGTGAAGCATCTCCCCATTAAGACCCCGATCAGACAGAAAGCGCCTTGCAGGTTTGAAAATGCGCTCTGAAATCTTTGGTTTGCTGCTAATTAATAACTGTCGTATTAGCAGAAACGTGATCACAACTCACAGGTCGGTGTCTTTAGTTGGTTTTTAAAAAAACCTGCTCTGGCACTGTTTGAGGGGCGAGAGGTGTACAAACATGCAGGAGACAGGGAAACGGAGAACCGTGTGGGTACATGAGACCCTCAGAAAGAGGAGACACCGCTGGTCCAATAGCTTCGTCTTAATGATGGTCGGTTTAAGGCTAAAAAGCTGTGCGCATTTACGCACGGGACACAGCAGCATAACTTCCTATTTAAATCTCCCGACACACAAACAGGATCAGACAGAATCTAAGGTTAATTAATGTTCTGTGTTCTTCTACACATCCAAAAGGTCTCACACAAAGTCCAGGTTCATACAGAGAAACTGTTTGGAGAAAGCAGCCGTCCTCCCGATCAGTCCTGAGCTCCATCAGTGCGTCTAAATTTTTTTAGAAGCTAAAAGTTGAATTCTGTTTCCTCTACAGGGTTTCCTCTGTCTGTCCTGTCAACTTTATAACTACAGTTTTTAGTTTTGCTGCTGTCCCACGGTATTTGCTATGAGATTACTGCGCCCATGGAAACATTTAAAAAGACAGACAGCAAAGACTCTAATCATGAAAGTACATCCTTGAAGAAAAATCAACATTATAAAGAAATCACCTGGAAAGTTAAAATGACCGGTAGAGGTGGGATAAATCTGAGAAAAGAATTAGACTAGTTGGGTTGAGGGCGGTTGGATGATTTAGGCTACACAATTGTTCAGACTCCTAACTAACTCTAATCATGACAAAACAGTGCAAACAGCTGCTGATGTCAAATTATTAGGCTGTAATATGAACCAGAGCATCCTCTAGTGCCCATTATGTAGTCTGCACATGTAATTTGCACACTGTGTTTCTCCCAGTCAATAGAGGGTCCAGCAACACCCCCCGCAGCCCCCTTGCCGTGCGCTTGAAACACTGCATATACAAACAAAACAATGTAACAACCATGGAAATGTCACAGTTAGAGAGGAAGTGACACATGAAACCCAGATAAGATCAGAATGTCTCAGCTGAGCTTTCCTGTGTGAAATGACAGTTCAGTTCAGTGGTGCTGAAACAGAGCTGGCCGAGCCACTAAGCAACCTTTGCGGTGGTATAGGGCCCCGTGGCTAACAGAGAGACCCCTAGAGTCACTGCTAGTGGTGGAAAAAAATCAGCTGAAAAAAGGAGCATCAAACAATTAAATTGAATTAAATACAGCTCTATATTACGCATCATTATCATCACAGTGGTGATTAATTTACATCACCAGGCCAGAGTTGCCATCCATGGAGGACCTCTACACCCAGCTGTGCAGGAAGAAGGCCAACAGGATCACCAGAGACCCCAATACTTCAGGGTGCAACACATTTTCACTCCTAACTCGTCACCCCCCTTGGTACCGATTTTTAACGCCCTAGCGTCGTTTTTGGAGTTTAGGGCTCCACAGTGAAATTACCAACATTCAGCAACAATAAATCTACAACATCCGGTCAACTTAGCAAAAATAAATATGCAGCGTCCGGTTAGACTTTAAAAATAAAACGTTAATGTTGGGAAACAGCATGTTGTTAAAGTTGTGAAGTGTTGGCTTCACAGGGGCGGCTGTGGCTCAGGAGGTAGAGCGGGTTGGCCGTTAATCGGAAGGTTGGCAGTTCAATCCCTCCCCCTGGTTGCATGTCGAAGTGTCCTTGGGCAAGATACTGAACCCCGAATTGCCCCTGGCGGCTGTTCCGCCAGTGTATGAGTGAGTGTGAATGTTAGTTTCCGTTTGAGCACTTAGGCTCAGTGTATGAATGTGTGTGACTGGTGAATGCAGATGTAGTGTAAAAG